CAGCCGCCTCACTGCCAACGGGATCCCGCAGCTACAGGAATGAGCTGGGTGTCTGCATTTACCCAAATACAACTGAGGCAAAGATAAACAAGATAGCTTGCTCGAAGGGAGAAACCTAGTCATGCGCGCTTTACTAAGGCAACGGAGTGACTTAGATGCGGGGAAAAGCACTTAAATGAAAGAGAACCTCCACCAGGGTGTCTCTCTTTGCTGAAGGAAGACAGTGGAGAGACCCTGGGGAACGGCTCCTTTAGGTATACTGAAAGAAAGCACTGATTTTTACAAATTGGAGATAAAAAGAGGTGGCTAGCTACCATCGGCGCATCTGAAAACAGTAAAAAAGCATGCTGAAAAATTCTTGCGCAAAAGCACAGCACTGCTCCCTTGTCATTTTGCAACTATACAGAAAAAATAGTTCAGTAGTCATTTTACTTTTTTTTTTTAAATAGAAGACACAGCCTCCCAAATCTCTGAATAATTTGAAGAAATTCTTCCTGCTACTTCAGTGATGCAGACACTTCTCAGTAGCACCCCAGACAGGCCCTTCAGCTCCTTGTAAAGTGCATAAACACTGGAAGCTGCATTGTTCTTCAGTATCAAATAATCTTCCCACCCCAGCCACCAACTGATTAAAAAACAAAGCCCAAAACCAACCAAAAAGCTACTCTCAAAGGGAGCTTTCTGGCAATTCTGAGACAGAAAAACCCTCTGAAACAGGAAATCTATTGTCACAAAGCGAGCGTGCTGCACGGCTTTGCTTGCTGTCTATTAGCTGGGCATTTTAGCAATAAAGTGACATGGGTTTCCAAAGTAAAGTTTGCTTTGGTCCCTAATCAGGCTTTGCTCCAACTGAACTCCTGCTGACTTCAATGAGAGGCCAGACGGCGTGAAAAGCAAATGAAGACTTCAAGATCTGGCCCTTTATGAGACAAGATGTAGTTATAAACTTATTTAAAGACACAAATCTCTCTGCCGTTGAAACGCAATGCCACTTTTGAAGGCAAATCTGCAGAAAAACAGTTTGTTTTCTTTGTGCAAATCTTGCATGTTAACATGATTAGCTCTGCCGGGCAGGTGCCTCCACATGTCCATGTTTGCTTTGGCACATGAGCTGCCCCTCTCACCTCTCCAAATTCACGTGGATTTAGTGTGAAACCGTTAAACGAGAGTGCCAGGGAGCCCCTTCCTGGCGGGCACCGAGGCTGCTCGCCCCGCAGCTGGGCTGGAGGCCTGCCCGGCCCACACGTGCCCGCCTGCAGCGGGCAAGAGCCCGTGCTGATCTTCTACGAGCCGGTGGCCACCAGCCAGCAGGGCCCAGGAGCCCGCGCTAACCCCTTACTGCACGCTCATGCGCTCGCTCCTCGAGCTATTCGTGGTGTAGCCAGTGCTCGAGATCCTCGTCTCCTCTGCTTAAATCCCCCACTCCTGGGATCACCTGATGTTGCAATTTCAGCTTCAATGAAAAAAAAAAACAAGCAAGTTTTTAAGTAACCAGGATGACATAAAAATACAAGAACATGACCCTTTAAGTCTTAAAACAAGACACTCGGATTATTAATATCTTTAAGTGTCATTCTAGTGTGTTATTTGCATAGGTTTTTGGGACCCAGCTACAGCACTGGGGGTTGATTATGCTGCCTGTCTTCGTGCACAGACCAGACACTCCCTGCTCTACACCATTTGCTTTGCTGTTTGCTCTCTTAACATTGGTCAGGGCAAAAATGTGCACCTGCTTTTTTTAGAGCAATAAAAGCAAATCCAGTTTTAGAAACTGGTCAAAGGGGTTAAAAAGGATGTAACTAGCGCTAGTGAAGACATTTTTTATTAACCCGAAAAATGTCTCTAGCGAGAACAGTTGCGAAGGAGAAGACCTTCTAAGGCAGGATGTGCATATTTTGGGATCAAATGGAATATGAAGATCTCCCCCTGCTCCTACTGACACTGCCGAGAGGACCCAGGTGTCATCCTGCCCACACATTACAGAAATCCAGCTGAACCACAGCAGCCTGTTGGCACCCTGTTGTGCAAGTCTAGATGCGCTCGCTGCCTGCCAGGGCTTGTGAATTGCTTTTGTTTAGCAGAATAATCCTTAACATCCAGATCTTGCACCTCATTTTTCCTCTAAGGTCTAAGCAATGATAAAAGCAATTAGCTCCCTAAATCCCTCTCTTATCTGTAATTGGATGTGATTTTTTTTTTGTTTGTGAAAAAACACTGAACAAAAATAGCAGCCTCAACGTGGGCCAGGGAAACAGACCCTGACGACAGCCAGCTTATCTTCCGCAGCTGCCTGAACAAACCAACACCTAATGGATGCGTTTCCAGGAACGCTTCCAACCACGAGCTAACACTGCTGCCGAGAGGTGAGCAGTGGACCTGGGCAGCTTTAACACTGCTCTCCTCTTTCCACTAGAAATGAGGAGGCTCCGCTCTCTGCCCCTTCGTGCACGGTGTCACACTGGCCAGATGCCCCCTAAGAGCAGCGGGGCGCTGCGCAGGAGGGAGGGAGGCACATGCCCCTCAGCACTCCCCACTTCCAGCAGCTTCCAAGAAATTTGGAAAAAATGAACGCCAAGCAGGGAAGCTGCAACTGCAGAAAATTCCCCATCCTCCTCTTTCCCACCCCCAGCCTTCCCTTAGGAGAAGCGCAGGATTTCAAGCAGGTGTGAAGGAGCCAGGAGACAAACAAAAGAGATAAAAGACAGAACAACTCTGAAGAGCACTCAGGAGGCCACATCACAAGCACAGCACAGCAGCTCCTAGCAGGCAGAGGCACTCTACCATTATCTAGTTCACAGATGGACCACCCAGAAAATCTGGGAGCAATTAGGAAGGAGAACAAACAAACGCAGGGAAAGCAGGGGGAGGGAGGCTGGGCAGGAGGGATTCCTTACATCATCTCCATGCAAGCATTGCGAGAATGAAGTGAAGCTGTAAGGAGGAGGAATGCACATGAAAGAGTTTGCACTGAGAATGTAATAAAAGAAAAGGCTATGAAAACATGTAGCATATGAACGAATTACAACGAGGCCGTTAAATTTACGGAACATCAGGACAGTGTGTAAACAAAGAGGAAACCCATCAAATTCTTGGAGGCACACACATGCGCACGCACACGCATACACATATAAACACATTAAATGCTAACTATCTCTCCGTGACTATTACCACTACATCAGCCTGCCTTGCAGCCCAGGGATTCATCAGGCAAAAAACCCAGATTCACTTCCTTCTCAGGCTATCAGTATCAGGCACTCGATACAGGCAGGAAAAAACAAACACTGTGCACCAACACAAACGCAACTCTATGTCCTGTACATGGATATGAACCACAGCAACAGCCAAGGGGCTCATGCTAACACATCTGCGTGTCCGGGAGCAGCCTGTTCTCAGGTGGACTGGATGCCATGTTTTTGGCATCTAATCCATCTATTAATCAGCAGTTCACAGCACAAAGTTACACCTTGCATGTGTCCTTGTGTGGGAGGCTGATCTGATTTTGGTACCAAGCACTTTAGTTCCAACCGACTTCAAGCTGACTACCCAGACTCTCCAAAGCAAGGCCCATTTTTAATGAAATGCCTGATTTTAGGCACTTTTGTTTGCTGATTTTTAACTGTGGCATAGAGCGCTGCCTTTGTTAATTTGTGCTGCAAAGCTTGCTTTTTCATTTTAAATGATCCTAGGTACAGTTTGCAACTTCTGCAAGGGAGCACAATTTATAGATTGTATTTTATAGGATTCCAACATAATGGCAGAAGATGACTCAAAACGAAAACAGAGCATACCAAGTGTTTTGAAGTGATTTTAATCAATAACACCGTTTACTTTGTCTTGGCCTCCAAGAAGGAGGCTCTGGTCACTAAGGGCATCTTACAAACAAATTAAAGTTGATACAACATTTTTTTTTCCTAAAAACTTTACAGTTTACTATAATCTTGGTAAGCTCACTCCCTGATAATTTTCCATAAAAATAGTGCTTATTAATTCACAAGTTCAGCTGAAAAAAAATCTACTCTCCGCTTGCCTTAGCGGCGGCTACAATATGGCAATTAGTTTACCTTAGAATAGACATCAAAGGCTCAAAGGATGACCCTGGCCCTCAAGAACAAAATCTTTTAAAGCCCTGTTCCACTCAGTTTGCTAGTTTACAAGGTTTACTAAAATCCAGTTTAATGATCATGTAGTTTCTTAGCAAGTCCTGTGGTGCCATATTGTTTCAGGAACAGAAGAGTTAGTCCTGAACCCTTTTTGAACTTGGGAAGCTTTTCCGATTAGCTGATGCAGAACCACATTCTCAGATGGCAAAAGAAACTGTTGGATGCAAAAGCCTCACCATGATTTTCTTTAGCTTCTTTCACAGGAGACAAAAGTTCCCACACAACACACACACACAACGAAGGAGTCCATCATAGCAATACGGCCCAGTCCATATGGTGCGGATACAAGGAGAAATTGAGACCCTGAATGAAGGGGTCTGTAAATTACAGTGGAAAATAGCAAAAGCAGGGCTGGGGGGGGGGGGGGGGGGGGAAGGGGGGAAAAACACACTTTTGAGGTGAGACTAACCAAATAAAGCTCTTGAGCCCAATGGATTAACCAGTTCTCCTTTTAACAACAGTTTAACTCTCTTCATATCCTGAGTCACAGACAGTTTCCTCCCCTGTCAAGGTTATCAGATTGCCTCCCCCCACCCCCAGTGGCAAGGAAAATATACCATCTTCTCTAAAACAGTCTGGCCCAGGGGCCAGATAATAGTTTTACATGTTACCAGGCAGGAGATTAATACAGCCTCATAGCAATAATGAAGGAGAAATGAAAGTGGAAGGGTTGATTTAGGTGAGGCCAGGAGGCATATGAAAAGGCACAACAGTCAATGAATAATATAGGAGAGGTGCCTTCTTACCCTGCCTGGAATCACACTGGAATGATGCACGAGAAAGAGGGAAGGGAGAGGACAAGAAGGGTCTGTTTAAAACAGTAGCATAGAATTGGCCCACCTCTTTCCATTACTATCACGAAGCATGGCTTTTCCCAACTCTCTGGTCTTCGTCTCCAATTCCTGAACCTCCTCCAGCAAAGTTTTACAGTAGACATGCTTGGCCCTGTACCCCAAGGAAAACACAAAAATAAAAAAAAAAAAATACATGAACATTAGTGCAGTTGTAAAAGACCAATTTTTCCTTCTCAGATGAGAGGTGCAAGGCTCTCCTTTCATTAAGATTTGGGAAATGAGGCACAACAAATGCACATACAGAACAGCCGGTCCAGGTTCACAGTACCAGGGAAGTATCACACAAGGAATGAGGAAACAGAAGGGCTTCAAATTCAGTCGAGCTTGTTTGCTTCGACATAACACTCTACTGAAAAATGGCAAAGCCACTGGACTACAGAGACCCGACACTACTGCTGTGGGGCTGCTCTGGACGTGGGCACTCAAACAAAAGAACGGGGCTGCATTGAATATTCATGCAGCAAAACATGATTCCACTCTGCCTTTTGAGCCATGCACTGCACGCCCTGAAAACCAGAGAAGAGTCGCAGATAAGAATTGCCATTCATGGCTCTTTATTTTCAGTTATCAGTTTCACATGCCTTGGAAAGGCAATTCTCTCCCCACTGAGCTTTCAAAATGACAGTAACAAGGCAGGCTGTGTCCCATTTTCTCAGTCTGGGCATTCAAAGAGCAATGTATATGCCACATATGTGACCAGATTTGCAGAGCAATGTCCCACATGCAGAGACTTGGGCCTTTTTTTCAGTCTCACCTACCACTTCAGCGCCTTCATTCCTCACTTCTGCTGGAGCAAGAAGAGAATCTAGCCCCCTCTATCTTGACATTTACAAAGCAATACTACACAATCCAGGGGTCTTTTTCTCCAGCGGGCAGTTTTGGATCAGCTTCCTCTTTTGTGTTACTTGAAGGAGAAAAAGTCTCCCCATGAGACAATATTGATTTGCATGTGAGTGCACAATGAGCTTGAAAATAAGATGGAGCCAAGTCAACTGAGACACCACCTCCTTCATTGCATTAAAATTATATTCAATTCTAGAGATGGCAAGAATTTCTTTATAACTATACAGATACTATCATCTTCAACGAGTGATGACAAACAATGTCGACCTCTCCCTACTAGAGAAAAAATAACTGGTGTTTATATAATTAAAACACAATAAAGATGCATTTATTTTTAAAGGCATGATTTTTACTACTCCTTCCGTGAGGAAGGAGAAGCACAAAGCCCACATCTTTGCTGAGAGTATTTGGGGTGACTGTGGCTTGATATTAAAACTAAGTTATCCAAGTGTTCTGGTTTTTGTGGTGCCAAATTAGGCCCTATATGTTGCAAGGTGAGAAGCTAAAATGAAAAACACTTTTCAAAACAAATCTGAATGTAAGAGAGGGGGGAAAAATAGAGAACAACGAGAGATGAAGCACAGGAAAAGTCTGAAAGCAAAAGGAGAATATCATGATGTTCTTAGAAGAACTCCTGAATAAAACCAACAGAGATGTATGATTTGCAAGGGAGCACCAACATACTTTGACTGTGGGAGAACACAGAGCAGCAAGGATATTTTAAAACTTGTTCTGTTTTAAGAATGTGAGTTTACCTCTAACTGAATAAAAGTTAATTAGATTCAAGCTACTATAACTACTTACGTTAATGGTAAGACTCAATCTCCTCCTTGAAGGAAGGAAACTACTACCATTTTTTAAAGACGACAAAGCTTTGGGCTATTAATCTGCACAATTGACTTGACTTTCACACTCTTTTTAATTTGAGTAAATATATTAAAACATTGACCTTGAGCTCATCTCCTACCTTTTAAAGGGATCATACCTACCACTGTAAAGTTGAAGACTAAGTTTCAAACTTTTAAAATCCTTTAAAACATGTTTTCCCATGGGTAAGAACATATAAACCTACAAGTTATTCAATCTCTCCCAAGGCTTCATGTTCATTTTTATCTTTCTACACTGCATAAAAGATGACAGATGTTTTTCTTTTCGCTTAGAGTGCAATAGTGAATTCAAAATATAAACTTATTGGAATCTTAGCAACACAGGCCAATCAGTGCAGCACAGTCAGAGCAGGCATCACACAGATATTTCACAATATGGAGAAAACATCATCACCCTGAAGTCAGGGGTACTGAAGTATTTCAAAAGCAGTGAGAACTGATGAAATACAATGGGCTCTATGTCATGGCAGGATATCTATAACCTCTCCCCCTTTCCAGGTTATATTTACACATTGAATCACTTCTTGACTTGGAGCAAGAGCTTCCATGGAAGAGTGATTAATTTAGTACTTCTAAAAGTGCCTGAACTAACCTACCCATGTGTTTCTAAAACAACAGATACTAAAACGAGTTATTAGAATTGCCTCAGAGTCTGGGCCTACTCCCATCAAAATCAATGACAAATATTCCTTGGATTGCTGGCAACAGGACTGGACACTTCATGTTTTTTTTTTCACAACAGCACATCATTATCTTTTGATACACAAAAATATAGGTAGAAGTCTTAGCTTTTACCTTGCACTTTGCTTTAGATACATGATCAGCCCTCAATGAATTATGAGCTCTTGTGTTCGATGATACTGTTCAGTTGAAATTTGACGCGCTATGTAAAAGTAGGCTCTCCTGTCTCTCGCACACCGGGATAGTAAGATCATGGATTATAAGAGCAGCTAGGGGTTATCGCCATATTTTGAGCAGCCCTTCCACTGCCAAGCCAGGGAAAGGCAAAGCTTCATGGACCTAGGAAGGTGCCCAGGAGGTTTTGCAGGGCAGAACCCGTCAGGGGAAAACAGGGACTCTTTTCATAAGCTTTTGTCAAACACGATGATGCCTCTACTGTGACTTATTGTCAACAGCACTACTTCAGGTGTCTTGTGCTCCAGGGACTGCAAGTGCGTGGATGGGAAGAGCTCCTCATACCTTCCTCTCTCTTATTTATACTGCCAGAACTGGCACGTGCAATATGCTTCCTCCATCCGTCAGCCTTCCCCCACTATCAATAAAAAAGGCAGATCAAGATTTTGGTAATTATTGGAAGGCTCAGTCAATGTTATAGTGAGAAATTTCCTAAATGTTGAGACACCAGTTTATTAATAAATTCCTGCCCACTAAGGAATAAAATAAATTTTGCTGGAATAAACTGGTTTTATGATTCCCACATAGCTTTATGGGTCAGATATTTTGAGACTTCCTAGCACCAGTGACATGTATTCAAGTGACATGTGCCAACTGTGAGCAAGAACTCACCTTACAAAGCTCTGTTCACTTGAATAGTAGCACAACCAGGACCTTTATAAGGCAAAAATCAAATCCAAACCAAGCCATGAATTCGTGGTAGTAGACCAAGGTTAACAATATGTTATTACAGGCAAGCATTTATAACAAGCTTCCTCTCATTGTAAAGAGGGAAGTTTTCCACATTTCCTTGATTCACTTAAAAAAATATATATGTATATACATACATACATATATATATATATACACACACACATATATACACACACACACACATATATATTAGGCCTAGAGCTGCAGAGAACATGGGAGATAAGAGGTGTGTTGACAAATGAAGCCTGCATAACAAAAGGACATGTATAACTAGCACCTACTTGCACACAGCATTACAAATTTTGATAATGGATATACAGCGCAACACTTGAGAAATAATACGATTTGCATGGGTCTGAAATGCACTTTAAAAAATCCCTTTTAGCCTTCTTTCAGATAAAAGCTCTGTTGTGTACTTATGTTTTCCTGGCAGTGTTCTGTACTGAAGTTAGGCGTACACCTTTTGGGTCACGTGGATCCTTTTTCTGTGGATATATGCTTCATGTCCAAAAGAAACTGAAAGGGATAAATTCCATGGCCATGAGAAGTCAGAGCTGCTGGAATTTTATGGCCAAAAACAGATTCTGCTGAATTACAGACAGCAATGTGGTGTAACCACTGCTGTGGAAATGTGCTGTCTGATTTCCAGAGGCCTTGGGCTCAAGTTTTGAATGGCAAGCCTCTTGGAAAGGAAACAGACCTTTACTCCTTCCATATGCTAGTGCTGATAGCTGTGTCATTTCATTTATCCTGGTTAAAATGTTAATCATGTTAATTTTTCAGTGCTGGGTTAAAAAAAAAAAGTCCTGCTCAGAGAAGGGATTTTTTGCTTAACATTGACAGAAGCCTCCTGTTTAAAATCTGCTGGGAAAATATCCAGGGTATCAGTCATACGCGTTCATCTTGAGAGCTTCACAATCTCTGTACATTCTTGCTCTGAACCACCAAAAGGATTATGTTGCTGAGATTTCTCTAAGAAATATTAAAGAATAGGCTGAGTCAGTAACAGACTTTTAAATGAGTAATAGCAGAGGATGAGCCTGCCTTGGTCTGTTTTACAATTCCTTAGTCATTTTTGCCATGCGCTGATAAGAGGAGGACAACTTAAGGAACACATATTTGACCTTGAACTAGCATGAAAACATTCAAAAAGTAAAGCACAATCTTGGACACCTAGATGATGCTGCAAAAAATTTAGCTCCTATTTAACTTTAACCACGGAACTAGTCAATTGACTTCTTAGTAAGTAATTTTAAGTAATGCCTGACACAGGAGCAGGACCTGCTGTAGTAAATGAATTTTAAGATATTTCAGAGCATTAAAAGACAGGTCATAGACACAGCTAATGTTAAGTATCTAGATTTAAACATTTTAGCCTCAACTTTAGACTTTTAAAATCATTTTCAGTTAAGGAAGTTCAATAAATGCAACAAAAAGCCCTTTAGTATGCTAGACTACTAAATCATAGTTTGGCCTCAACAGAATTATTACATTATCATACCTAGTTTTAATTTTAGCAGTATAGCTCATGAAAATTAACCTGAGGGAGAGAAAGACAAGACATTTTAAAAGTATTTACTGATTGGTAGAATTGCTTGCTAACAGGTTAATTTAGCTGTGCTATCAGCCCCATAGGAGGAAAACAGATTTCCAGACATATGTGTATGACCTGATTTATCCTTTTACGCTGATCTTTGAAATGTGCTTGTGTTTGGGAAATGTTCTGCCTTTTCCAATATTTTCTGTATTCCTCCCTAAAGAAGGATATTCCTTGGCTGATAGCTCTTTCCTGGAACTAAGTGTTACATATTATGATATGGGGCCAGACTCTTCTCCGTGGTGCCCAGCAACAGGACAAGAGGCAACAGGCACCAAGTGAAACCCAGGAAGTTCCATCTGAACATGAGGAAAAACTTCTTGACTGTGAGGGTGACAGAGCGCTGGCACAGGTTGCCCAGAGAGGCAGTGGAGTCTCCTTCCCTGGAAATATTCAAAACCCACCTGGACTCGATCCTGGGAAATATGCTCTAGAGGACCCTGCTTGAGCAGGGGGGTTGGACTAGACGATCTCCAGAGGTCCCTTCCAACCTCAACCATTCTGTGATTCTGTACTACTTTACTTTCCGTTCTTGTGACAAGTGACATGCTAACCTAAATTTCCTGTTCACCCAAATTAGGACCTGCATTTCTACCCCATGCCCTCCTTGTAAGGACTACTGAAAAAAGCACTACCTTCAGGTAAGAAGAGAAGGGTAAGGTTTTCTTTGCCACTCTTCTAATAGAATGAGAACGTGAATACCAAGTCATCTCTCGTCACCCATGAGAATCTTTTACTTTAGGCTAAAGAAAAACCATTTCCACATAATAAAACCTTCTTGGTTGCAATACAGCTTTCCACTGCAACAGATGAAAGCTTTTGGGGCTTAAGACATTTAAAAGCAAAGTGAACAAAACACAAGACATTACAGATGAAAAGGATAATTCTACACTGAAAATAGCAATGGTAGAGAAGTTAAGTTGCTTCTCTTTAAATCTAAGTTCTTCAGATTTCTTTCTTTACTCAGTGCTTTGAAACCAGGGAAACCTGGGAGGAGAAGGGAATCACACAGGCTTGTATTTCACAAGGCTTCCTCCTCCTCTTCAGGTAGTGAAGGAATCAAGATTTTCCTTCAACTGTATAGTCCAGAGAGTATTGCTCTTCTGTCAGTTAAGTCAGTCAAAGTCAGTCAAGTCGAGGAAGACTCACTGCTCAAGGAGAACCTGAAGAACAGCTGGCAAACAACTGGGAGTTTGCAGGGCACTGACTACCACAATTTCACTTTCTACCTAACCTACTTAGTCAAACCAAACAAAGCATTGGGCTCCCTTTTAGGAGCAAGGCATCTCTGAGATCTGAATCAAATCTGCCTTAAAGGCAGACAGAGCAAATAATCATGAAAAGAAATATCTTCACTACTGAGAGAAGGCTGCATCCTCCAGATTCAGGACTAAAACTGCTCAGCCTTTTGCACTGCTGGTTGCACTGGAGTATAAGAAATGACTCCCGCTTTCAGCTTTGCTGAGAGGTCTTCCAAAGCAATATCACTGTTTTGCATTCACTAAAAGGCTCTGTACTTGCTTTACAGAGAGATACTGAACTGCACAGCACATCCAATGCAGAATGAGTCCTACAACACCACGAGGACTGTTTTAGGACTTACGCTCTCCATGCCACGTCTTTAACAAGGCACGCAGTGGGCACGAGAAATAAGCCAAACCAGAAGTATCCACATCGCAACACCATTCCAGCCTATGAAAAAACAAACAAACAAGTCATGAGCATTTTCAAACCATCACACAAACTGGTTGTTTACAAAGAATAGGCAGAGCGGTGGCCTCAAGCAGGCACCGCAGCCATGCCGATGATGTTGAAATTGGCATGTGTGGGAAGGGGGAAGTCTCATCAGCTCTTTGTGCCTACAATTAACAAACAGGAGCATCACGTCTCATTGGGATCACTCCTTACAACCCAAATTACTTCGGATATCTTCAACAAGATAAATAATTAAAAAACCCCACATGTTTTGACCAAATTCTCCACTGATTAATTTGTGTATCCAGACAATCATATATGTTCACCTCAGGGAGAACTGCATGACAAATATACTTAGCTTGCACTTTTGACTATCTTTTCTGCCCTTTGCCTGCTCTCCCTCCATCCCTTATTCCAGCAAATTGACATTATTAAAACAAACAAACAAACAAAAACTCAATAAAATATTTTAGTCTTATTCTACTTAAACACAGCACTTCCTTTTCCAATTACTGAAACCCAGGATGGGAAAGATTCACTCCTGTCCCCACAAATGGCTTTTTACAAAGAGCTCAAAGTTCACATTTGCATTTCTTTCATTGTTGTAATGCTTGAAGGAAAAAACTTCCTAGGATTTGAGAAGCAAGACGTCCAGAAGCCCAGCAGGTCCCAGCACACACATGTAAGTTGTGAAACAAAGTTGAAACACAGTGTTATTTACAGAAAAGCTATTTTAGGTTATATTTTTAGGGCTCTCTTCAGAACTTTTTAGAGACAAATTAATGGTGAGTAAGGCCCCAAGCTGCTATGTAGAAGACTTTAGAAGACCTCGCCACCTCTGGCATGCCACCTCTGGCATGCACATGCATGCTTCCCATTAGGATCCTTTAAGTTCTCTAGCACATTAGTAAATTGTTTTATCTGTAATGAACCGTGTACAGCTTACATAACTCTAAAATACTGGCTGAAAGGTGCCAGCAGCACTTCCAGTGGCTAGCCACACTTTGCTCTCTTGCCAGCGATGGATGTTGCCATATCCCTTCTTCAAAACCTTTTTTCCCCTCAGCATCTTGTATGCCACATACAATATGCACAGGGACATTCAAAGGCACGTGAGTGGACAGGGAGGCATATACCCACAGACACAGAAAAAAAAAGCAGCTGCTGGAGCAATGTCATGCAGACCGAGCTCCGCCGTGCCTCACCATTGCAAGCAGTCAGCGAGAGACACCAGCAGCAGCCTGTGGAGCTGAAGTTTCAGGGACTTTCATGGACAAAGTTGAGCTACAGAACACAAAACTGAACAAAACGACCACCAGCCTTTGAAACATACTGTGAGAAGACGTGATTTGTAATTATACCCTTTGTAAGACAAATTTGATTGACTGTAACAGAAGGAACTTTACTACTCACTACAGAGAAGCTTTGAAACTGAGAAAAAACAGCACATTTCATTATCGGGACATCCACCTGTAGCACCCCGCATTTCCTCCCATGGTTGATACCTATTCAAAAGCATCCACCTCACTGTCCAACCATGTTTAGCAGCAACCTGCCCTTCGATTGCCAAGTAGTGAGGACTTCCAAAAGCATTTTTCACTTCCGACTGTTAAATCCTCTGTGCTCTTGCTGGAGTGACAGATCAGTGGTAAATCTCGTACTGAAACCAAGAGTGAGCTACACTATGCTAAAACATTTATGGACACTTTGCCACCCACATGGAGAGGAAGTAAACAAATTCCAGTCTGAGAATGAACTCGCTCTCAGTCATTTGCAGTCCCTCATGCCTCCTTTCACATCAGAACGCCCGAAGCATATGGTTAGGCTTATTTCAGGAAAAGAATGGACAGGAGTAACAGGGAAATTTTTTAACTTTTTTGATAGCCAAGGAGCTGGACTGTAATGAGACGGCAGCAAAATACCCTCGAATTTACCCTCCTGCTTTGCTTTGCTGTGGCTTTGACCCTGCAAGCGCTGGCAGTCTAATCACATCAGCGTTTCCACTGACCACCCTCCCGTTACTTGTGCTAATAAAGGGTAAACAAAGGACTGTAAAATCCTAAATGCATTTTCTGGTATTTTTGATTTAAGTATTTCACACTCCACTTCTTGGCTTTAGTAGATGGAAGCAGCTCGAAGAACTTACAACGCACAAAACAATTCAAGCGCATGTTTAGTAGAAACTTAAATGAAATTATTTGTAGTACTGTCAATTCAATCAATGGCTACAAATCAGTTTTGATATCCCATACATTAAGCTCTCTTTGTATTAAAGAACCTCAAGCCAAGTGCTTTTTACCTACGAGTATGCATATTATTTAGGTCTCATTCTGTCTGCAAACTGTGTCACAACTGTTCATCTCATCTCAGCCCTCAGACACTCGCATCACAACCCGCAGGCCTTTTCCCGCACAGCCCACCCCTAGCTGATACCCTTTTCCCAAGCTCATCCCAAGGGCTTTTTCCCTCCTCATCTCCAGTTTCTGCTTGCAGTTATACTCCTACTGTGTCGCATTACAGAGGATTGATGCGTCTTGGACGCACACTTCTCGCGCGGCCCCTGCCCCTGAGCACTGCCTCATTTCTGGCAGGGCAGAAGAGAAGCTCCTCAGGAGAGGACTCACTGGGAACCACCTAACACATGCCAGGCATATCCATCGACAGCATTGTTAGCATTTTCTCCAATATGAGGAAAAAGAACTGGGTTATGAACAGAAGCTATACTAAGGACAGATATAGCACATTAAGTCCTCTTTGGGCTTCACAGCCGTTGCTGTGCTCCATTCCAGTTGCTCAGCTATTCCTGACAGCAGGGAAGACAGTACTGCAATATATCTTCCGTGAAGCACAGCATTCCTGTATCCAGCCTCAATAACAAACAACATCCTTCAACTATCAGTTGTCTCCTCCAGATAAGAAAAGCAGAGCTACTAAATAGGAACCACCACCTATTTTTTTTTCCTTTGAAGGGTGACAGGGAGGAAGAGGAGAAAGAGTTTGTTTTTTAAACAAATTCAAAATTTGACCAGTTCTGTCATCACACAGGCCCCATGATATGTAACAAGGGCATTTTTAGTCTCTCTACTGGTGTAAACATTAGCGACTAGCACATCCAAAGCCACCTACCAGAACCATTTATCACACGGCACCCACAGAACATGCAAGGCTAATGCAAGTTCTCCCCTTGAAGATATCGCAGCTTAATTGCTGCCATCAGAAGACTGCCTTCCAACAAGTACTGATGAGGCTGCCCCAGTAATACAGATAACATTTTTAAAAATAGGCAGAAAAATAAAGAAAGAAAAAGCTTAGCTCCAGAAATTTCAACTGAATAGCAAACAATCTAGGTCCGGACACCTTAATCATTGGTGAACATGCTTAAGCATATTAAAAATATATTTAAAAAAAAAAAAAAAAAGGAGGAGGGGAGACACAGTAGCACTGGCTGCTAGCAAGAGCCACTAGGAACATCTGCTCTATACTACTCTTATTTTAGAAAGTTTGTGTTAAGTTGTTGGGTTTTTTTTTGTTTTTAAAATCACAGACATGCTCTACACAAGGACATCAAACAGGAAAGAGGATGTTTCAAAAGCCACTTAGGTTGTAATAAGGAATGTATTACAAACTATTTTCTCCATATAATTATTTTTTCATAGTATGAAAATAAGTAAAATTCATAGTTTTACTTTTTCACCAATAGGTGGTGCCACTAATTTCAACAATTCCTTCCAACAAGAGTTATAATGGCAGAAAATGCTCAAGTGGAGGTGGGGGGGCAGATATTTTGGTATTCTTATCACAGCGTTGTTAGGCAACAACTGGGGACCAGTAAACGACTCGGACAAACCAAAGGTCTCAATCTTCTTCATAGATCATTGAAGACAAAATTTAAATTCACATTTTGAATAATAAAAGGTTTTTATTACTTCATTTCCTCATATATCCATGCATCCTAATTCTGATTAAAAACAGAACAGGCAAAACGTAAGTTCACCATGAAAACAGCTGGCCTTGTATTTACAGTGCGACAAAAATTATTACTGGAAGTGTGCCTAAACCCTGATCGTAGCTGTCTCCACAAGGCATGGAAAAGGACCCAATAAGCTGCTTAGTTTTGGTTTCATATTCATTTGGATGCCAGCTTTATACACTAGAGATCCAAGTTCAATCGGTGCTCCACTGAACATCTGCATGATCGCAGCCAAGTGACTTGCTCCCTCACTTGTTGAACGTGGACAACAGCATAGCTTTTGTCCAGTCAGCGCTTGGAGAATGGGCAAGACAGGGTGAGGATGGCCAGGACGATGACTGCGCGGGGTTTGATACCACGATAACAGCAGCAGAATCATCCACAGATCTGAATGATCTAGACACCCATGACAAGTGTCACCAAAGGATCTAGCTGCCAAGAGCCATGGCTTGAGCTGCATGATGCAACTGCAGAAGCCTCCGCGCTGCTCCTAACACCTGCACTCTCTGGTAGCCAGCACAGAAAGCAGTGCTGCAGCCATCTGAGATATATTAGGCAAATACCTCTCCCAGTACATCTCCCTAATCAGTTCTAGACCAGTGCCTCAATTCAAGCACGTCACTTGACAAGGGCTAATGCTAGGACAGGAGTCCCTCTGGTCCAGTCTCAGGCCAGCCTGTTAGGTACATCACTTGGAAGCAAGCCTGCTATTCAGCTGATGTAGGTAGTCATCTCCAAAGCCTGACAGCCCACCACTTTGAGATCCCACTCTCAGTCTTTTATTGCATTGACAACAGCGTGCTCCTAGCTCAGGTAAACATATCCACCACGTGTATCAGCAGTCCTGTTGCCCCCGCTCACCGCGCGGTATACAAACAGGTACATCACACTCTGGGAGAGGCTCACTCAACCACTATCACTGAGCCACCTCGCAGCAGGGTTCTGGAGCCACATTCCTGGGACCGAGTCCCATTCATCTTCTCCATAGTCACAGGGCTGATTCAGAGATTGTGTTAAAGGCCTAGGA